AATAGCCGGATAACGAATAAAAAACTAAGCACATGAATATTGCAAAACCGAGAGAGAATTTAGAGAACAAGAGATATTCAAACATTTCTCTAAAATCACAGAATAAAATATAATTCAACCTCTTCATAAAAGGAATAATTCAATTACCTATTTAAAATCATCCCTTTATTTCAGTTAACAATGAAGCAAACTACAAAAATGTATCTCCATTCATCGATTGCAAGCTTGAAGAGCTAAAAATACATTAAATCTATTTTTCAGTATCATAAAGCGATCCGAAACAAAAAAATATCATTTTCCCTTTAACAAAGTAATAATCCATTGTAGCATTGATTCACGGTAAAACTCGAAATAAAAATAGTACCATCCAATTCCGCGTAAAACAACCAGACGCGTTATTTATACCACTCCGAGAGGTCGTCGATTTGTTTGTAAAACCAAAAGAGAAAAAAGGTGTTAAGGTAATAAGGCCAGTGGCATAGGTCGAATGAAATCTCAAGCAGGAGAACTTGACTGGTGGCAAGGTTAAGTCCGGGCCGAAAGGAGATGTAAATGTCGAAACAGGATATATCCACGCAACGTAGGAAATCGAGCCAAAAAGGGCAGGGGGATCGCTTCTTCCAGATACGTGGCGCATACTCTCACCTTGACACTGAAAAACCTCACCCCCGCTGTGTGCGGGAAAAGGAACGTCATTGATTTAACGAAACGAGCTCGCAGAGAAACATTACGCCACTTCTGCCGCAGCTTTTACTGCAATGCATATTAGTCGTTCGATGTGTCGCGAGGCAGACACCTTGAGAGAGAGAAAAAAAAACGAGGGTGGAAAAAGAAAAGTCGAGTCGCGTGAGCGGCGGTGGAAGAAAACTCGTGTTTTATCAGGCAAAGAACTTGGCCGGAGTTCGTTAATTGACGATACGACCGGAGCGTCTAGTTAACTAATTCTGAAGGGGGGGAAAAAAGCACGAAGAAGTGGCGGCAATTACACGGTCGGAAGACGAAAAAAAAAAGCGTGGCAAAGAAAAAGAAACGAGATGCAGAGATAACTGCTCTCCGAGTGTGCTCAAAGGATTATGCAACTGGGATCTAAGCAAAATCCCCCTGGTATTCCTGTATGGCGTGGAAAGTGTGAAACGCCGGGGTACACTGTGAAAATTAAACTGAAATATTTACGTTGCGCGAATATTATGCGAAATATATGTGTTAGGCAACAGAATTTCAGAGATTCTGCGTAATTACCGTACTACCGGCTAATTGCGCCTATTATAGTCCAATCTAAAGGGGTGCGATATGGAAATGAAGGCGGAAAAATTTGTATAAAAAATATATCCAGTGAACGTTGGATTTTAATTTTAAATAAATCCCGAATCAATTATGAAACAAAAGAATTTCGTATATTAAAACGAAAATATTAAACAAAATTTTAATTATAACTATTTTATATAAAATTAAAAAAAAAAGAAAAAGAAAAAGGAACATGTACTATTGCGAGCTTACACGATAGTTACATCTACGAAGAAAGCTCTTTCACCGGGTTCCTCGGAGAGCTTTCTCCATTAAAAATGTTTTACCTCACCCTCGCTGAAAATGTAACTTCGCGTCGAATAATCTGCTTTCAACATTGTGTCTCGTTGAACGACACATATGTGTGTGTGTCTTTGACAAAAGAAATGGAGACACGAGAAGAAAGGAGGAACGAAAGAAAGGTAGCAGAGGACGACGACCGGAAGCGTACGAACAAAGGGCAGACGAAGCTTCCGTGTCTGGTATTTTTCACGTCCACCTGCTCGATAAAAAAATCTACACGTCGATGGATAAAATACCCTGATGTTTGTGCACAATGTCGGGAGTAACAGAAAATGAAAGCCGATAATTGTGGGCTTCGATCAATGTTGGATCAATGGAAGAAGCAAATAACGATCGCTGGACTCTTCACCGTAGTCCATTATCTGTGAACTAGCTTTTACGTGCATAACGACCGATCGCCATTCTCGAAGGCAGAAAAGTCGAGACCTATAGATAATGAACGACAAATAGTTACCCGAGAGGATGTTACCAACTAGAAATCGACATTGCAGATTAATTACTTTCTACATGGTTGCCCAATCGATCTCTGACCATCTGTTCCGATACAAAGACAAAGGGAGGAGGGTTAGAAACTTGGGTAATTGTCGCGAAAAAGCAAGGAACAGAATCACGAACGTAATACGAGTGTTAAGAAGATATTTCAATCGTTCTGTACACACGATGGTATATGGGATCGTAACTATCGTGCGTTAACGTAAAGGAGCAAAAAAGGTTGAGAGGGTTATTGATGGTTCGGTGGAATGCTTTTCACGGTACGGAAATTTTCCATCAGCTCACGTTTTAGTACTCCGTAAGCTTGCCTCCCTTTGTAAGTAAGTACCCCTGATGATAAATCATGTTATTACACAGCTCCAAGACTTTTCTTGGATTCGCAAGATCCGGGAGCGACTGTATGGATGTCTCGTGTGACGAATTTCTTCGTCGACATTGTAAATTGAATATGACTGAATGGATAAAAGAAAATAGAAGAACTTTGAAACACTTGGTGTATTTCCCTTTCTCTATAAACATTATTCGTTAAAATTTTATTGCACATTAAATTTATTTGTGATTACTACCATATCATTATTTAAACCTCCATTTCCCACATACTTTTAAGCCCCTATAAAAGCCTCCATTACCCTGTTATTAAACTCTGAAGTAATACATATAACTTCATTATGTGGAGTTCATTAAATTAGCAAGTTTGTAAAAAATGTTCGCATTCGAGTTGTTATCAGACTCACTGGGGATAACAATATTTTCAACTTAAGTAACTTTCTCTAACGCGAATATGATTTTAATCTTGATTTAGATGACAGGTAAAAGGGATGGTTGTCATGGAAGTATGTAAATTGTTCAAAGTAAAACGATGATACAAAGGTGATCAAATGATAAATGTATCGTATTCAAAAGGAAAACAGAATATCGAGTATTTTAATAACGTGATATATTGATTGTGAATATATTTTCTCATTCTGTTGAAACGAAAGCATTACGAATGGAATTAAAATCGGATAAATGAAATCAATTAAAAAAAGTTAATTTTTTCAAAAATTGCTTCGTATAAAGTTTCAGAATCCCAATTCCTATATTCGAAACTTTTCATTCAAATCACGAACAATTCATTTTTATTCGGATAGGACATCAGTAACATTGGTGTAGCTCATAAAACGAATACCTATTCCACTATCGAACACGATATTCCATCGTCCGCTGATTTATCATCAGAAGTCATTTCCCTTTGCATGAGCATGAACAGTCAAAGTTCGGTGTAACGATCGTGGTCATAATAAAAATCTGATCAATGGCGGGGATGAAAAGTATGTTATATAAATCGTGAGAACATGACTGGCCAAGAAAGTCGAGCCACGATGTGGATAGAGTAAAGGCTCTGATCGATAAGAAGCTATGGTCGACTGGAATACTCTCGTGACAGCGAAACCGTGCAGAATGCGAGATTGTGGGAAACGTCTGGAGCAACCGATATACAATTCGAAGACGTCGTGAATTCCTTCTTCGAGGAAACATCGTTCTCCTTTCGAGATTTATACGAATATCTATCCCTGGGGCGCTGTTATATTACGCGAAATTCCACGTACACCTTTTGCTAAATTAAATAACTCGCTCGAATAACGAGTGATATCTATGTTTGCTCGTCGAATTAGCCGAACAGGCAACTGAGTTTTGCTTCGTGCTCCTCTGATGACTCAGTTAATTATTTGGGATAGTTTGGAGGAAAAGGGCGGTGCAGAGTTTCTATGAGTTTACTCTTAATATATAGTATACTAAAGAGACTTTGAGAATTCCTGCTTCCATTTGATCGCAAGTACACAAAAATTCAAACACTTTTCACCAGATATCGTTATGTATTTTTATCGGAAACGAGACAGGATTGTGGAAGTTCCTGGTCACATAAAGCAACTTTTAAAGCTCGATTCAGAACGGATTTTATGTTATCCGATCGACTAGTAGAACTTCGAAGGCTGATAGAAGTTAAAGTTGACAAAACGATCGATAAAAGGTTCTAACACTGTATGTGAAAATAAATCAAATTGAATCTATAATTCCTATTTACAATTAAATGAATTAGAAATAGTCTTCTAAATATAAAAGATCAAATGTGACGAGGAATTGTTAGGAATTAGAAAAAAAAAGAAGTCTGGTAAACCAAGGTAGTGGAAAAATGAAAAACGAGGCGACTGCGAGTTCAAATCTTTTAGCAGCATGTAAAGACTTGGTTCTTGGTCTTTGATCTTACCAGTGTAATATACTTCCTCAATGAAAAGATGAGCAGACGAATGAATAGAAGAAACAAAAGAAAACCTCGGTTCATGAGAATCCAGGAAGATCAAAAAGATCATTAGGCTGTGGGTTAAATTATTATGACGAAAAGATACTTAATCACTTCATGGTTCCATTATGAAAACTTGAAAATTGGAGATTTTCCAAATTCAAAAGTTTAGAAATTTAGAAATTTTCAAGATTCTAAATTATATGAATTTATCATTAAAAAAAAACTAAGTACTTAAATTTCTAACTACCTTAATTATTCCCGATTAACAAGCTTCATTACTTTCATCAGAATTTAAAAACTTTTACTTCCGAACTGTACTTAACTCTCACATATTGTATTAGAGACTTTACCTAACGAATATTAAAAGAAGATTTTCTATATAGCCTCGTTTCAGCTCAAGTACTGCACGGTGTCTGAAGCTTGTCGCTTAAGGCAAATTACGCTATGAATAACGAACTATGCTGGCCGAGACCTTGATGCTTTCATCGTAAACTGACCCAGAACTTTGCTCAGATTAAATATTTTCCTCAATCTGAGAATAGAACTTTCATTACCCTACCACCTCAGAAACAGAAAAATATAAAGAAGAATCTCTTTGTGCTGTTTGGTAAATAATAAAATGAATACCCTGTTGCAGGTGATACTTGTAAAATGGAACGAGCCTTACCAGAAGCTGGCCTCTTGTGACAGTTCCGGTGTCATCTTCGTTTGGATCAAGTATGAGGGAAGATGGAGCATAGAATTAATCAACGACAGAAATATTCCAGTCACGCATTTTTCTTGGTCCCATGATGGTCGTATGGCTCTCATATGTTACAGGGTAATTTTATTCACTTATCTCTTTTTAGGACAATTCAGCTAAGGATGACAGAATAGCTCATTTCTGGGTCTAAGAAGACCCATAAGGTTCAAGAATTCTAATATTCTAAAATTCTAAGGGACTCAGCCCACCATAGAAAAAAATCCTATTTCCACGAATAAGTCAGGTCGCAAACATTTAAATTTTCTTTATTCCACTATTGAAGTGATAATTTCACAAACTGATTGACGTAAAATGTTAATCCTCTCTCGCGCCAACAAAAGGAAAGAAAACGAACGGAACTGATCAATTCACTTGATATTTGGATCGAGTCCAATCCGTAGCGTTACTTCCGCTCCTGGTGGTACTCAGACCACCATATTATACTCCTCTACTTTTAAATCGACGATTGAAAATCTAACTGCAACGCCGTGATTCGCGGAGATTGAACGGGTTGGCTGAATGCTAACACCGAGAAAAATGCGAGATTTTTATGATAAATCTGCGACAAGGAGGCAAGCCGTGGATGGTAAAATTGAGTCGATGAAATGGCGCGGACGCGACAGGAAATAAGCATTGAATTTCGAAGCGAGGACAGTTGAATGACAATACGTTCGGTCGAGTGTATGTAAAGTGAAATGATTATTCCACGGGGAATGCAAACGCGTGGAAACTCCAAGTAGAACTCAAATAAAGCGCGAATTGTATGCACACCGTACGTGTGCGGTTCGAATTAAAAGTAGAGTATGCTGAAATATCGATAAGCTGGATAAATGTTGCAATTTCAGTTTTGTCAGCTGTATTTTGATGTTAAGTCAATAACAAAACCTACAGTGTATTGTAATTGCATACAAATATTGAAGGAATACAAATTATGATAACATGCAATATCTATGTTTCGTTCAACAAATATACTTTGAATTTAATGAAAAGTGATATTCAAATTTTACCTTCTAAGGCAAATTTTTTAATTACATACTGGATTTTATTTCATGATAAATTGGGGTGTTATTTTTACTAAAATGAAAATTTTAATGTTCTATTCTAACGTTCTTTCCTTCGAAGATGAGTTACCGAAAAGTTAAAAAATTTTTTTCAAGATTTCTATGGCACGAAACTTGTTAAAAATATAAATTAATAAATATTTATTTTTTTAGGACGGTTTTGTACTAGTCGGCAGTGTAGCTGGTCAAAGGTATTGGTCATCGATGTTGAACGACAAAGCTACCATTACGTGTGGAATTTGGACACCGGACGACCAGCAGGTAAAGCATAAAATTGATTACAATATTACATTATATTCAGTCAATTCATCGTTGAATATAAAGAAAACTTTTCGTTACTTTCAAAAAACGTTACTACAAACATTGACTGCGCGAGCCAGAAAAAATGAATTAATTATTTTCATTCCGAATGCAAATTGCTTTTAATACTTCAGTCACTTCTTTTACATTTATTTGAATTCAATTTTTAGAAATGTCGTGTGTATCAATTTATATGCCACATTTATTCGCGTCAAAAGGGTGAATATTTATTGAAATAAATATATGTGAATACTCGATATTTCGAAATTTAACGAATAAATATCCACGAACGCTTTCATTGCAATTGAACGTTTTAATATATTAATACAAAGCGATGATTGCAAAGTTATACAACCACAGTTTTGTATCATATGAATTTTGTATAAGAATATTTAAATCATTGAACAGCGTTCGAATTTTCATTATATTCGTGGGAAACCAGATACAAATATCTACTATTTTATTCCATAAATATAATATCATGGAGTATTTTTAATAAAAGTCGATTGGTTGATTGGAAATTATTTAAAAATTATTTCTGATAAAATAGAAGACTGGATTAAGATTTTCCAAAAATACAGAATGCACTTTGTGTATTCTTGTGCACTTCCAGGTTAATAAATCAGTTTTGGGAGTGAAACTGTACTACGAGAGCCACGGTAGCTTTAGTCTTAATACCTCCTAATTAATCCACTGCACAATAAAGCACACCCTTATTAGTGAAGACATATATTACCCCGAGTAGCCCTCATTTACTGCTAGGTCCTTAAATACATTATATACGATACGTGAAAGACAATACGTCGATGTCTGTTTGGAATCTTGAAGCACTTGGGTTATTATAGCATAGTGTTACGCTCCATCATAGTTGTCAGAGGTCCATTATGTGGCAAAAACTTTCTTAACGTCGATAAAAGGTTCGTTATATCGATATTGTCAATTAAAACGATACATAATAGCCCTGAGTGCTTTGTTAAAGTGAAAACGATAAAAGAAAAACGTACCAATGATGGATAATAAAATTTAGTCTTAAGATATTTAATCTTCAGCCTTGCAATTAATCCATTGCAAAATTTAACTGAAGAGAAAATATCCATTTTTAATTTTTCAAGTGGAACATCGCGAATCCCAATTTCGTTGTAGAATTTAATTAACAAAAAAAAAGATTGAACTCTGGAATTCATTCATCTAAGCTTAATTTTAAAACAATTTTAATTCCAACATTGATTGGATTCATTACGGAATTTAGATATATGCAGAATATCGAATTGTATTATCAATTCATCGGGTAATTGGATTTTAAACCTGCACTAATATTCTGTAATCTATTCACCATGAAGTCCAGTTTCAAAACAGTTTTAACTTCATTAACAATATTCTAGCTACAAACAGAGGTGGAATTTATGACGTGGACATGATTTCTTTAATATCTTTAAGGTTTTCTAAATTCGCAACCGAAAAAAAATTCTCAACCCCAATTTTCGGATACCGTGCACCCTTGGTTATTAGACATATCTATTCTCCTTTTTTTAAATATATTGTCTATATTGGATTTCAACAGGTATATTTCGGGACAACGGCTGGACAATTAATAGTAATGGATGTTCATGGGGCCATGGTGTCTGAAGTGCAGTTAGCAGCTGGTGTCACATCAATGGCCTGGAGCGCGGAAAAGTTTACGATGGAAGAAGGGGATGACGATTTAACGAACGACAGATCTCACCGAGGTAATAATATGTCACACGATATTTTTATAAAACGATTTGAAATGACATCCGAATGATTTTACGAGCTAGCTATTAAATTTAGAATTCTGAAATGTTTTTATGTTCGATCGCAATGAACTAACATTTCTAATAAATAGGACGCAGAAACATAATATACATATGCATAATTATGCAGTAATATTCGCAATATATATAAACCATACAACCAGTTCCCATGTCGCTTAGGACCTTTGTCCTACGACATATGCAATGGGAACGAGAGGAACCCTAAACATGCGACTCACCGTTTGTTGACTGTCACTACTGCACTAACATCGTAGAGGCGACCCATGATTGACAATCGTCCCCAGCACCATGGTCTCGTTACTGCCTCCATCCCGCAAGTCATCAGAGCACTGTCATCCTCGCTGAAGAGTCATTGAAAATCAAAATCATAATAATTTACAAATGTCTTCCATTTTTCGATCACAATTATTAACATAATAATATCCACATCCACATTTGTATACACATACACGAAGATATGAGAGAACACACTAGACACACCCGCTATCACACGCGATAACAAACCTAGTAACTGGGTAATGAATGAAACGATATGCCGATTCGTACCGGTACGAGATCCTCGGGTGAGTCCGACCTGCTTCACGGTCGTTGCGAGACTGAGGCCAATGTTGCCCCCCTCAAGTTCAAGGGATAATAACAGACGCGTTCGGTTATCTATTGTTGACGTCTCGCAATGACCGTTTTTCAACCACATTCGAAATTCCTCTATACTCTATACGATATTATTTCATTATAGCTTATAATTTTTGAAATAAATATTTTACAATGCTTAATTAGGTAACGCTTATATTGCAAATCTTATTTAATTATTACGCTTCTATACATCTGTGAATTTTTATAATTTTTCTTATTTGAAACATTAAATAATTACAGATACACGAAGAAATTTATATATTAAATAAATTGTTGGAATTCCCATTAAACTCGAAACGAATAGTTAAAAATTCAACCACATCAAATCAATCTAAACTCTCTAAAATTATAAAGAAATAAAAATCATATACTTACAGACGACCGGAATTACGTGCTAGCGGTTTGCCTAGCAGACGGTAACATCGTGATGCTTCGTTCCTTCGACGACGTTTCTCCTATCACCATCCGTACAAACCTGAAGGCACCTCTACACGCAGAATGGAGCAATTCTAGAAAACTCCTAGCAATCGCTGGAACGAAAGAAACAGATGGTTCTCAGGGTACCCCACACGAGTACACGAACCTGTTAAAATTTTACTCGGTCACCGGTAGTCTTGTGTATACTACGGCGATACCGTACACGCAAGTTCGTACTTTTTCTCTTTACCCAGTGGAAGCTTATCTGCTTGAATGATTGCGATCGTAAAACGTGTTATTTTCTTACCCTTATTAGTGTCCGGTATCGGCGCTCACGTGGGGTCACAACGACAGGAGACTTTTTGTGGCGACCGGTGCTCGCGTTCACGCCGCATGGGTGTCGAGGTAATTAAGCCTCCTTATTTCATCGTTTCTTTTTTTCTACTAACTGTGCTCATACTAAAGCGTTTGGTGCACGATCCACGCGTTCCGCAGACGAGTAGGTTCGCTGCAATTGTTGTCTCGTTTAGCGGTGAGGGCAGCCCTGACCAGAGAGTCCAGTGTCCAACAACTTCCGCTTCCGCCGAGATTGAGGGCATCTGTGGCCGCACTTTTTGCTAGCACGATAAGGTGGGATGAAATTTTTTCAGCGAAAATTAAAATGTTACAAATCAGGGAAAGAAATTAAGAATTTAAATTAGAAATTTAGTATCTAATTAATGAATAAATTTAATAACAGAGGAGAAATAAGCATATCGTGGTTACAGATGTTCGGTACCGGAGCCCAGAGAGCTAAGACGTTTCGTATCTCGTCCACCTCCAGGAGGAGGAAGACTCCATTGCACCATGCTCAGACACGCAGTAGAACCTGTACCGTGTTACACGCTATACTTGGAGTATCTGGGTGGACTGGTGCCTCTGCTGAAAGGAAGAAGAACTAGCAAAATTAGGCCAGAATTCGTGATATTCGATCCACAGAGTCAGGACACCCTCCAAGTGGTCGAGGATACGTCACAGTGTCCATCATTTAGTGACGGATCTGACACGGAAAGGGACACAGCTGATCTGTGCGGATCCCCCAGGAATAAGAGGAAGAACAGAAGAAAAAAGGAGGACAAGTCGAACGAAGAGTCGGATGATCTCACCTATGTAGCCACGTTACCTGAGGTAAGGAATTTCTACAACAGTATCCCAAATAAAAATTTCCTGAGTATAATTCAACGGCACTCGTTGCACTTCGAGTCGCCTTAAGTCGCGTGACGTGACGAAATTTAACGAGCCCTTTGAGTCTCAGAGAATTGCAAAGCCATTCGCGTGACCGCCAGTGTCGCAAGACGTATCTGTTTGTAGCACGCGAGGTTGGTCGAAGTGACGTCCAATATCTGGGGCACGAAATTCAAGTTTCACGGGTTGGCGGATTCGGTGCCGGCCAACTTGGGTCAGGTTACTTATCGAACGTCGCTGTTGCACCTGCAGCCACGACAAATGACTCTGGTGATGACGGAGCTGCGAGACGACGTTCCAGCGGGTAGGTTTTTCGATCGAACCAAGAGGAATCTCATTCAATCAAATTCGTTTAAAATTCTAACAGGTCCAGATCCAACCTTCAACCCTAATCTGTTTTCCGAGGACGAAGAAGAATCCTTCCAGGAGCTGCAAGCCTCCTCCAGAAGCACCTCCGAGGCGCAGCCTCCCCCAATCGCGCCTATGACCCCTCGCAACGCGCGACTCAACGCTAATCGTCCAAAATCACAAATCTCTAACCAATTTATGGCGAGTGAACCTTTACCAGCTACTCTGTCCAGGGTGGAGAACTACGAGAACGAACTGCCCTACGTAGACCTGCAAGAGATGGGTAATCTCTACGAGAACTTGAGAACTGCACCCCCTAACACTTATCGGACACCACCGAGACACAATCCACCAAGGTGTTGCGATGTTCCAGCATTGCAGTCGCCTAAGAACGCGGTCGCACCCACGCAGACCATAATCGCGACCTCGAATACCGGAACTGATTACTCGAATAACATCCAAAGAATGAAAACTGCTCTGACAGACCAACAGCCTGGTCTGGTCACCAAGAAAGAGCTGGAGAATAACAAATTCAATCAGATCTCCCAAGAAGATAAAACTATCCTGAACAGTTGCCCGTCGACTATCATACCCACCTCCATGCATAATGGACAAGCCTGCAGTACGGAAGCGTCCAGCAGTCATGGTTGCTCTCAAGAGTCTATAGTGAATGGTTTGAACAGCAACAGCTGTTCTCAGCAAACGATATTCATGAACGGTCTTCACATGGCATGTTCGAGTAATCTGAACAATGGTAAAGGTCACAATGGTTCTTCTAGTATCGGTCAATCGTTAGCCACAAATTCGAATACTCAATATGGACAGAGCAATGGTCCTTTCAACAAGAATGGTATACACCTGGGTAGCAATCATTCTCCGGCTTGTTCTTATCAATTCCCTGAGAATATCGACCAGTGTATCGGTCAATCCTGTCCCCACTGCAGTTTAAAACTAAAGGACACGAAATCCCATGAATTGTGTGGGAAGATGAGTGCCAGTGGTTCCACAACTGCCAGAGTGGACGAGATGCGTTTCATCGACGAAGAGGCTCGAAGTGAGGTGGAAACGTTTGAAAATTCACGAGGAGTTCACAGAACACCTACTGTCGTCAGCATCGGACCACTTTGGCTGAACGATTCCATAGTTAGAAGTTGCAGTGTTGGTTATCTGGACATGGTGGATGCCCAGTTGGTCCCCTGCGACGTGGCTTTGAAAATGCTGAGGAAAGAGGCGCCTAATAAGAGGCTAGTGTTGGTGTCGAGGAAGACCAAGAGGAGGAAAAAGAACAAGGCTCAACAAGAGATCGTCCAACAGAGTTCCAAGTCCCCGAGGCTACGAAACTGTGGCAAATCCAAGAGTTTGGACTCCAGTGATATATTCCCGGCTAACGAACAGATTGCTTTGCCACCCAAGTTACCCGAACACGTGGAGGAAGCGACAGGGACTGTCAATCTAGAGACGGTTGAAGACAAGAGTAACGAATCGTTAAATGATCCAGATGCGATCGAAGGACCCAGCGATTGTACCCAAAATGTTATCAGTAACGTGATTAATCCTGATGTTAAACCCAGTCGACTGAAAGGTTGCAACTCACCTGCTAGGTAAGTCGATTAACCTTGTTATTTAATTACGAGATTTTAACTTTGGAATTTGATTATTTCAGAGGTTCTAGTCCAAGTGGATCATTAGCATCATCATTGGATGGTCTCGCAGCTCGTCTCCGTGATTTTGATGAAAGTCACTCTTTACCTCCGCCATCGCCTCGTCCATCGGCCAGGTACGTATCAATTAACGAATTCATTTTCAGAAAGAGACGAATCGATTAATAGTATTTTCTCCAGACTGCCTAGGAGTTCTCCTAGCAGTCCAGCACCTTCCAAGAAGGGAAAAAGACCTGCATCAGCTTCGCCAATTAGGAGGAGACTTCTATCGAGTCCTTTGCTAAGTAGAAAAACGCGGAAGAGTCGAGGCGAAAGCTCGGACGAGGAAGGACTCCTACAAGATGATTCATCAACGAATTATAGGAACCTCGAAACGTTTCAGAAAGCGCAGTTGCGACAAAAGGTTGGTGAAAACATTTTGTTGATAAATCTGGAAAATCAATTTTTCCAAAAAACGAAGCCTTGGGTGAAAAAATTCAAATTTCTAATGTATAGTTGAAGCAAAAAGGGGGAGGATCATCGAGTCACAAGTCAGAGTCAGTGAGACGAGAACTTGTGATGCACAATAAGGCACCTATGTGGAACGAGTCTAGCCAGGTGTATCAACTTGATTTCGGTGGCAGGGTAACTCAAGAAAGCGCGAAGAATTTCCAGATCGAATTTAAAGGCCGACAGGTAGACGAGTATTCCTAATAGCACAGCGTTCTATATCTACACGCGATGAATATCGTATATCTATTTCAATGATTAGGTCATGCAATTCGGGAGGATAGATGGGAACGCCTATACGTTAGACTTCCAATATCCTTTCAGCGCTTTGCAAGCATTTGCCGTTGCCTTGGCCAACGTTACGCAACGCCTCAAGTAATCGTTAGTCGCCGGTAATATTTTGCAAAACAATTTATCAAATGTTGGCGATCAACGTTTCCAATTTCTTTGTTTCTTAAATCATGCAATAAATTTTCAGATTTGTGCGAAATTCGGAACGCAACTACCAGGAAAGATACTGTATATTAAATTAAAGTATTCGTCCAGAAAAGAAGACAAAAAAAAAAGAAACTGAAGAAGAAAAACTAAATATAGCAAGCCATAGGGAAAAAGCTGAAGCTGTAACGATACGCTACGCATCTAGAATACTAAAGAACGAAAGACACGTTTAAATACAGCTTTCAAGCATGTAATAGAGCCGCATGTCTTTCGATTATTAAAAACTAGTGACGAGCTAGAGTAAATCTTTAAGGTAAACGAGCGTTATACACCAGCCGTCTCCGCGACGTAACAGAGATTTTCCCGCCCAAAATCTCGAAGCTGAAAAAAACACATGGCCTTCCGTTGTAGCGCGAAAAAGAAGAGCAAAAGAAATACCTCTCGTATCTATAACGCCTTCGAAGCTATTGAACGTGATTTTGAACGCGTCGAATCGCTGAATTTTAGCGAGAGAATGAAAATGAAAAAAAAATCTAACAAACACACAAAGAGATTCTGTGTCACGAGGAACCATGGTGGAAAGGAAAATACTAAAAAAAAAAAAAAAGATTTTGTTAAAAATGCTTCTTCGTCGTACCGTCCAACAAATGTATTTCGTTTATCCCAACTTCGAGCGCTCATTTTTGTATAGTTTATGCGACACGTTGGAGTCTAGTAATGCTGTTGAAAGTTCACCTCGTTCATTTTTGCGGTCCGCCGGGTGTATTCGAATTTTATATACAATATAATTATTATTGACGGACTCGAATCACCGCGCGAGCCTTTCATGTTGTTCGATTAAATGTTTCTTATGGCGTATTATAAGAGAAAATGGAGAAAAACACAAAAAAAAAGAAGTTAACGCTAAATGATGTAACGTTTTGCGTCCGGGGCCTGTGTTCGTCCTCGTCGAAACAGAACAGACGAAAAAAAAGGAAAAATTAGGCAAACAGAAAAACGAAGCGAGACAGATACAACGGAAATATTCTCGTCTGTATTGCCAATGTGTGCACGCATAAAAAAAAAAACTAACTGTCGTCCGTACTTAATCCACGATCGTTATATTTCTATTCGCCTAATTATAAGTAACATGAAAGGGAAAAGGAGAGGAGAAGTGAATGTCGATTTCAGGCCTAGGGGAGACGCTCAGAATTTTGGATGAGCTGACAATTTTGAGAAAAAGACGCCTGGAACGATCACGAATGAAGGCAAGCTGGAAATTTTGTTACGTATAATGTGGGTCAGAGATGTCTAACTGCTGCCCGAGCGAACATCCCCCATCGAGCGACACCTTTTGTTTCTTTTGCAAAGTCTGCTCTTTAGAAGGGGAATATTTGCTCGTGCGCAGTATATGAACATCTCTGGTGTAGGTGTACACTGGTATGCAATGTAAACTTCCCTTGATTATGAGAAAGGAAAATTCCATCATACCCCTCTTGGGAGAAAAGAAAATTGGGGCTAAAGTAAATTAAGTGACAGATACATTTTCTTAAATTTTGTTTTAATCGAAGGGAGTATCGTTGCAAGGAAGTGTACACATGAGGTATAACTAATAAAGAATGAAGTTGAGCTTCTGGAAATCAATTTGCATTGCAATTGAATGCTTCACATTTGAGGAAAAAATAAATTTTGCAAAATCAAAGTTTGAGCTTGAAATTCTTCCGTTTACAAAGTAGATTTTTCCATAAAAATTGAATTGTAGTATCAGTCTGATTATTTATTAGCTATACCTCCTACACGCATCACAATATCTAATTTCGAAACCGTGCTAACGCTTGTCGAGAGACACGCAAGAGAAATGGCTCTACATATGTATACACATATTTGGTTTCTTCTGAAAAAGCTTCGCGCCTCTTATACCGGTTGTAATCGTATTTTTTGCAGAAATATACATGAGCCACGATATGGGGTGAGTAAATCGCGAATATTTATATCGTTCTTTTTTCGACAACGTTTACAGAGTTTACCGATCAGACCGCCCCATGTTCGCGAGTTAGCGATAAGTATACAGCTAATGACAGTATATAAAAATGCTGAACGGTATGGTTTGTTTGGTTTCTAGACAAGATTGTATGTTGAAATTATTTAACGATCACCAGTAGACAATTTGCACTGAAAAATACAAACCGCAAACTCATAGGACGAATAAGAGAAGGTGTCCATTTTGAGATTAGCAACGACCATTTGGAAAATTTAATTACAAGTGGTTTGATATATATTAAAAGAGATTATGTGTACTTATATGCAATTATATTATATTATATTATATCCAATCATTTTAATTTTTAAAAATCTTTCAACATATGAAACATTTATGTATAATCCCTTATTATCCTTCGAGGTGTCTCTTCAAATATCACTATGAGTTTGTGAGTTTATGGAAAGAAAATTTTCTACGACATTATTGCGAAATTATCTTCATTTACGAGAACCCAAGAATCATTCTACGAAGAGAAGAGAACATGCGAACGAATGTAAAAAAGAAATGAATTATGAAGTCTAGAGACAATGAATCACGTTACGATGAAAGTTCCACGATGGTAAACTTTTCATACTTGCACGAACTTTTGATATGGAAAAAACAGCATCAATGTGACCCACTTATTTTTAATATATCGTATATACATGTATGTACAGGTTGTCTCAAGAAACATGTATACTATAAAAACTGAAAATTCTTTATACCAAAGAGAAGTAAAATATCCTGATATATTTTACAATTTACATTCTTATTTTTCAGATTTGAATTCTTGACTAATTTTTCAACAAAGCACTTCCATATATTAAAACAAATATTATCTAAAAGTAGTCTAAAATTTAAATTGTCATTGTTTCAAAAGTTAATTAGTATCCTGAGGTTTAAATAGAGTATGCCCCCAAAATAGTACATTAAGTTTTTTCTAAAATAAAGTCTTCTCTAACATGAAAAATTGTCAGTTTTCACAGTGTACATTTTTTTTGAGACAGCCTGTATACATCTTAATGCATCTCCGCCGAACAAGACGGACTTGAGTCACGCAATAGGCAACGTCTACGTCAAAGACGGTCCAGTTTAGTATATAACTCCTCTTAGAGTTATATAATATCTCTATTAACATTAACACGTTTGCTGTCGCTCACTCAAACAATGCTAAATGTCCGATCACGCGATATCGCGTGATCTATCGCCAACGTTCGAACGTGGTGGCACACAGCGACCGGTACGCTTCCGAGTCTAACAGCAAACGCGTTAAACTGATACCTGTGATTATCAACGGTAATTTGCTTTCTTTGGCGATGAATAGAGTGCCTAGGACGTGTAATGTAAACCGATTTGCAATACACGAATTTGCTAATCAGGAATTTTAATTAATTGTACAGCAATTGTTAATTGAACGTATGATAAGTTCGTGTAAGGATTTGTAATAGATAGTACGCGCCTGAATCGTGACTGAGTTCCAAAATGTTCGGCCTAGCTCAAGAGTCAGACCATACATGTTCGTTAACCCATAGGTGGTAGTATATTTGTTCTTATTTTTCGTTTAATATATTTGATTTACATATTTAACGAGCGTAAACGTTTGAGAATAATGCTTAATACGAAAACGCTGTGTCACGTGTGAAACCTTGCGACTGAGTATACCGTATGTAAAGGACACGATTTACATAGTGTGCAAATAGTATCAGTATTGTTTTCTCTCCTACAATGAGATTGTTGATTTTGTGGTCTTAGCGCTGAATGATCATTCTGTATATGCGTAATGCAATTTTGTTACCGAGTACAATTGATGATTATCAGATATTTGTAAATAAAGAATGAAATTCTACACGGCCAATACTATTCTTATTCCTCTCTGTTAACGCACCGCTAAGATGAACGCCATTGCAATTTAGAATAATCGAGTGCTTTTCTAATGGCATCTTTGCACGTGAAAGGAATTTTTGTATAATTGCTGATTTCTCGCTTACCTCTTGTTGAATTTTGCTTCAAACACTTCCACCGAATCACTGTATAGTGGGAATGATAATGTGCATCAAATCACCACGTTAAAACACGTTTTTCATTTAAAAAACTGATAAAGAAGAAGAATACGTTAACAATCGCGTAATGTCGTTCGCCACTTTGAAACCACTACTGCAGCGCCGCGTAACAGTGAAGCGGTGAACTAATTTCAAAATTCTTAATCGACTATAGATTCAACAAAACTGGAGATGTCTTTGCAGAGGCAGAGATTTTAAATTTATGCCTCAAAAATAAGTGTCATCAGCTGTATAAAAAGTGTCATCCTAGTATAAAAATGTGAAATGCATATGTTCCCCCGTTTCAGAAAGTTGATCGGTAAGTCGTTGACTAGTTTGAGGCGTCTCTGTATAGATGGCGATAGGATCGAATTAAAAAAATTTTTAATTTATGGTGGGTTTTTTTAAATACAAGTTTGCCAAACAATTATTTTGATTGATTTCTAAAAAATAAAGTCAGAATTGTGTCTTTAGTTGTGAGTGCAAGGCGTGGTAGAAGAAGTACTGGTAAAACAGTTCACATACTTCAGCATGTGACCAGAAAATGGTAAGAGATATCACGAGTCCTTAAAAACATAAAACAAAAGGAAAAAAGAATCGGATGCTAAGTCTATTCTACACCTTATCTGTGGTTCCATAATTGAAAAAAAAGAAAAACTATTTTTTGTTTCATTAGTTTTATCATTTACTACCAGATAGCGATGGAAGTACTCTTTTTTCAAAATCTTCATTTGCATAAAATTAAAGCACATCATATAATGTTTCAAACTTATAAAATTAAATTTTTTCCAATAAAATGATTCCTATTAATGCTTTTTCAAAATATTCAGGAAGCACGTTCCACACGAATTAAAGATAACATAAATCGCTACATTTTAAATCTTGAAGATCCGAAAAATCTTAAAAATTATGCAAAAAATTGCAAAGACAATTTGTAAGAAATATGAAGTACCCATAATAGAGAAAGCGTACCTAATTTCATAGTACTTCATGGTCCAAAAAATAAAATAAAGAATAAAATCTCAACCAAGAACAAAATGGCGACAGTAGAAATGTTACCTTCCTCAGGGTGCGTGTATTCAAGAATGGTCGCATTCGAAGGTGGTGTTCTTTCCACGGCTAACTGTACCGTCGGCCCGTGGCCGTTTGACGGAAGGCGGTAAATTCCAGATAGTAACTGTCCCCGGTGAAATCATCTCGCAGCTTCTCCAAGGAAGGCGTTTAATACCCTTTTAGCTAGCGACGCGTCCGTTCGCCAAGTATCGTGCGAACAGGCAAGAAAGACAGCACAGCTCGGCGCGGCGTGTAGAGGACAGTTAGCCCGGTCGCTTGCAACAACCGGCGTGGCATGGCGGTTCTACCGGCTCCTACTAAGAAATTTATATGGCGGTCTACCGGCAATTGCACAGCCACCCCATCGTACGTTCGTTTATCGGATGCTGCGCTAATTGGACCACCGACCAATGCCAATGGACTCGCCGTGATTACACCTGCCGGATACGCACTACTGTCCACCAAGGATTTCGTCCTTCCAAACCACTCGCCTGAAATGCCGTTCTTTTCGACGCTTTTTGCTGTAACCCCGGTGCTCGCTGTAATTCGACAGGCTTCTTTAAGCGGGTGGGCCGCGAAAAATTTCCTCATCCGGGAATTTATGACCGGATTCGTCCGGAGGACGTGGAACGTACGCTGCTTGACTTATTGCGAGGATACTAACAATAAGTGAGTTTTCCTAATATCATGTAAAGCTTTCCAAATAGAAATGTTTCAGGTTCCAAGAATAGACTTTTTAAAAATCTTAATATTCATCTATTAACCCTTGAAAA